GAAAGACTCCAATTTTAAAGTGTATGCAGATCTCTTATTCTGTCACAGAGTATAGCCTGATTGTGTCTTTAGGGCAGAGAAACTATGTGACAGTCTTTGAGAGAAAATGTTGAGAGACTATGTTGTGCATTGCAAAATGTATGGTACTTTAAGAGGGGAGAATAGCCAGTAACTGCAAAACTGAAATTTTTGTGCTGCTGTGAATCACAAGGTGTGAAACTTGTGGCGGAACAATAATGCATCTGTACAGAAACGCTTGTGATTTGTGGGTGGATTTTTGGGGTGGGGGCGCCGCTGGCTACAGCAACTGATCATTCAGCCTTGTTAGCCTAACCAGCTGTCCAGGCTTAGGTGGACTGTTCATCCAAGTCAGAAGTATTCTTAACTGTTAGGTAACTTAAGCTAGTATCTTGATCCTTAAGAGCAAGGGATAGTCTGCTGATATATTAGCTCACTATTTAAAAAAGAAAAAGGAAAAAAAGTAGTGTTGACTAACAAATAGTGAATCTGGACTCCGTGTGGATTGTTATAAGAGATCTAGCTAAGTGCTGAGCAGGCTTGGAAGCAGGAAGTACTGTAAAATAAATTTGGTGGGTGCTAGATGAAATACCAGCTCATAGAAAACATGATGAATGATTTGAAAAATACTAGACAGAACACGTGCACGTATATAAGTATTTGACAACTGTTTTTAATTTTTTATTTGGCTCTTCAGAGTAATTGGGAGAGAAAATACTTTTTTTAAAAGTTATTGTTTATGTATTGAAAGGAATTGTGTGGGGAAACAAAGGTGAGAAATACTGTGTGTAGACATCCTTAAACAGTGTCGTAGTAAAAATCCTATCTGTATCGTTTGGGCAAAATTCTAAAAACAGTTGTTAAATTTTATAAATATTGCAGTTGGAAACTATTCCCTTGTTCTGTGGATTTTCTTGTCAGGTGGCCTTTTGTATATACCACAGCACTTAGAAGGTTATCAAACATGAAACGTTCCTGGAAAGCTGCGCAGCTGAACATAGATTCTTGTTCTTGTAATCTGTATTCATAAAATAGTGTTTCACATATGATTTTTTTCATTTCAATCTTTTCAGGTGATGGCCGTTGGTACAGAGCTCTTGTTTTGAAAGTTTCTCAGTCCTTAGTGAAAGTACTATATGCAGACTATGGGAATACAGAAACTTTACCACTTTCAAGTGTGCTACCAATCACTGATTCATACTTGAAGCTACCTTTTCGGATAATTAAATGTTCACTTGCAGGTAGAAAAACCTGATAGGTTATTTTTTTGAATGTTATATATGTCTGTATCCGCTCTTATAGCGTCCATTCCTTCTGTTGGCAGATGAGATGATCTGCTGAAATAGTATGCTGGTTAATACTGTGAAAGATGTTTCAGAAAGAATGCTTTTAGTTAATAAACTGAAAAATCTACAGGGGAAAGACAAAATAGAATCTAAACTATTAACTGAGCTATTAGTATAAAAATTAACCTTTGTATTTTCAAAAATGTGATGGTGTTATGTGCAAGATTCAAGTGATATCATGAAGTAACTGTTCATCGCATAAGCAAGTTGATTGTACCCTGTTTTTTTTTTTCCTCCCCTAGGAATAAAGGAAGCTGAGTGGCCTCCATTATTACTAGATAGGTTAAAAGAAATGTTATTGAATAAATATGTCACAATTACAGTGAAAGGGATTAGTGGCAATGTTAATTTAGTAATAGTGGAGAAACTCTCTGAAAGTGGTAGTCTGAATGTAGCTGACAAACTGGTAATGGAAGGCTTGGTCAAATACTGCAGTACTGAGAACTCACGTGTTCTACATCAAGGTACTTACTTTCACTAACTTAATTCAAAACTTAATTTGAAGTGTATGCATGTGGCGTGCCTAAGTGACTTTTCCTTCTGAAAGTCTCAAATTCAACACATCAACTCTTAAATGTGAGGGAAGCAGTGGTCATACATGTTCTGCTCATTCATTTACTTTGTTTTTGTAGGCTGCGGGAGTGATACCAAATGCTGCTGCACAGAATTGAGAGTGCAGGTAAGATTCAGTTCAAACAATGTTAACGTGTTTTTACTTTTTCAGAATTTAAATGAAACCCGAAGTAGGAAGGGAAGGAGACTAGGAAGGTAATGATAGCTAACTGAAACATTGTAGAAATGCAAAGCAAATATCCTGACATTTTATTTTTCTCAGTTTTTTACATGGTAATAGTTAGAACACCCTGGAACTGAGGTAGGATAGGAAATAGCTCTCACAGTGTTGGTCAGCCCATATTTTGCCACACATACAGCCAGATCGCTCTTTTTTTCCCCCACGTGTGAAGGCTCCAGAATGTTGCTTTTCTCTCTGTGGTAAAAGTAGTTGCTGTGTTTTGCATGAGCTGCATCATTTGGGCAAAGGACAGACAATTTTTTTTCAGTAATACGGTAGTATTTTGCTGTGGTTGCAACTTGGCAGACAGCTGCACATTTAAGAAAATTCTTAATATGTGTATTTTGAGTAGCACAGGTGAATACTAATATATGCCATTGTTTTGGTCATGGAGCTAGGGCTCGTGGAAATTTGTGCAACTATGTTAGTTTTAAGGCATCTTTCTCCTTTGGAAAAAACATGAAGTGTCACTTAAAGAAATGGCATATTTATGTAATTTTTGAAAAATTTTTGTTTTTAAACCTTCTTGTTTTTAACGTTAACTGATACTATTTATGAAATACTGGAAAGAGCTTTAGATTGCTTAAAAAGTGACTTAAAATATGCAAAAAAACCCCCATACATCAGCCTTTCTCAAAGGGAGGGTCTTTGTCAGAGTAATAATCAAATTTTGAATTTTAAGGAAAAAACACCTTTGGGGGTTCCTAATTTTCAGCCAGGGGCAACGCGGCCAAAAGCAAAAACATGCACTATGATATTTGTAGGCAGAAAAAAAACATCTCTGTTCAAGGTGGTTTAGAACTTTGCTGCCTCAGAGGTAGCATAGTCATCAGCCGATTAGTGGCAGAAGGCAGTAAAACTGTGCTGTTCCTGCCTGTGGTTTTTTTTATAAGTTTTTATCATTATTATTATGTTTCTCCTGTCCCACTGTAGGTTGGAGTTAAGTCTCCTTTCCTCTTCCCCCTCAGTATCAGTTTGATCACCCAGTTCTCTGGGGTTTGATCCATCTAATCTCTTGTCTGACTTTACTTTGGTCACTTTGATTTTGCTACTATTCCTCATTCCAACAAAAGATTGGCTCAAAGTCCCATGACAGATGAAGAGAAGACAGAGGATTCCAAATAGAACTGAAGATACCAAGAAATAGCCAGGGTGTGAATAACCATGTGTCAGGGTGGGGCAAAGAAAACTGGATAACAGGATGGCTTCACTAGTCTGTTAACATCCTGATCTCGTTCCTGCCCTGATTTGAGTATTTCATCAATTCTGTTCAAGGCTGTTCCTCCCCCTCCCAAAAAGTGTTAGCTATAATTCAGCTACAGGGGTTTTTTCTTTATTTTTTAATACAGAAAGGAGTTCTGTATTCATCGAACTAGTAAAGGACTTGGCTGGGTTTTTAGTTTTGGTATCTACCTTAATCTGAAATATATGTTTTTAAATATAAAAAATATTAATGCTAATTCTTTCTCCTTATTCCACAGCTTAAGAAGCATGAACAGATTCTCCTCTTTCTTTTAAACAAGTACGGGAATTGTGATGGATTCAGTGAAATGAAAAAACTGTTGAATTGTTAAGTCTCTCTGACATGCGCAATTTCATTTGTATTTACAAGGTAGCAAGATTCCTTTTTTTTTTTTTTTGAAAGAGCAATCGTATTCATCAGCTTAAAGATGAGAGAGTTACTTTGTAGAAATTTTGCTGTTTAAATACCTGCATGTATGGATTATTTTTGTGAAATAACTACTTAACCTTGAAGGATTTCAAAGCTACAAGTTAAATTTTCTCTTCTGTTTTTGTCTGATACTACAACGTGTTTATAAGCTTTTTGCTTTTATTTAACTGTTGGATGTACATAACTACAATGCAGTGGTATTCCATGACGTAATCATCTTCTGCATACCTGAATCTCAAACGCTTCTAATCATAAAGCTTACTTCAGCTTTGGCTGATGCCTTTCATTATACTTGAAAAATTTTGTCTTCTGATTACAGTCATCTTTCAACATAATTTCCTGTCTGTCTGAAGTTAGTAGACTGAAAATCATTTTTTATAAACTTGGTTTCAGTATCATTAAAGATTGAATCTTGACTTGGACTGCATATAGGTAATTCTCTCTCTTTCTAAAATCAGTAAGCCTTAGATGCACACAATTCTTTATTTACAATTATGCTGTTTAATTTGCACCTGTGAATATTGTTTTGAAATGAGTTCTAATAGAACTCTTGATTTTTGTCTATGTTACAGGTAGCTGTGTTTTTAAGACTGGTACCCTGATATTTCATGTCAATAAAAAGATCACATTCTGAGATATGACAAAAATACTGAAAGTCCATTAATAAAGTTTATTTGATTCAGTATTTCTCTAAAATATAATTAGCACCTAGATGTTATTCCTAATTCTTAATCTGGGAGCAATGATATTAAAGGGTTCCAAATCACTGTTCACAGAGCACAGTGATATTTGCTTGCTAAAGCTGCATTGACAACTTTTTTTTGTTCTTTTAAAATAAATATGTTAACTTAGGGTTTTGTTCAAATTGGAACGATCGTGAGATTAAACCTGTTCTGAAAGTGAAATGTTTTTGTTTGACTTAATGTTTTGTTTATACTTCAAAATTGCCTCAGTTTTTTTCCTGCCTTTCCTTAGTTTTTCTTGCATTCTAACACTTGCAGTGTCTAATAATTAGACTAAAATCTTGCACTTAGTTCTCTAGCATTCTTTTGCCCTGCAGTTCTGAACCAAGATTGTGGCTGTCTGGTGTCCTTTATCTTCCTGGGACAGCTGTGACCTTTAAAAGCATTTGCCGACATGCAAAACAAAATGCACTGCTGCTTTAGTCCTCCCACAGCTTTTGTTCAAGTTTCCGCATATTGCCTTTCCTAGCAACTAATATTCAGCAAGCAGTGGTTCTGTTTCGTAAGATGACTTTCACAGCAATAGACAAGGGAGTCACTTTGTCTACATTTGAAAAGCAGGAAAAAGAAGATTCTGGAGGAGGGAATCCTTGTTTGCCTTATGAAGGCATCAAAAACCTCGGAAAGCAGTGGTTGGTGTTTTACTTAGTGACGCATGTGTGGTGCGGTGTGGTGCAAAGGAATTTGGCAATATCCTTCTAGATAGCGAGAGAAAGGGAGAATTAAAAGACCTAGAATGGTTCAGAGTTAATTCATTGCTTAATTTCAGACAAAAATTTCTGGAACAATGGTGGAAGGTCCAATCCAGAAAGAAATGTGGACACATCTTAGACTTTTGATAAGGCCTTTGGTTCCTCTTGCTCTGCTTTTCTTTGCTTTTTTTTTTTTTTTTTTTTTTTTTTTTTTTTTTTAACTTCTGAAATTCAAGCCCGTTCTTGTGACTGTAGTCCAAAGCTGATAGAATTTATCTAACTGAAACCTGAATGCTGTGACAGAATCCAATTGGGAAGGTTATATCGGAGCACAGGATAAAATATAAGACTCTCTTCAAAACTGTAACATCCAATCTCTTTGTAAATAAAATGCCCTAATCCTTCTCTCTCCTCTTAAAAGAGGTATTGACTGGAACTCTGGAATAGCAGCTATTTTGGCATTAAAATAGTGCAAGTTTAATAGAAATGATACAGCACTGAAAACCAGTAGGGTTTCATTTTAGTCCTTTGATTTGTTTTCCATTTATGGATCACTGTTGTAGGAGCTAGAATTTTTTATGGGTTCTTCTTCTGAATGTCTGGTACTGCACTCCTTTTCTAGCTTTAGTGCCAGATGTAGATACAAGACTGTTATCTCTTTGCAGATTACGGAAGTATTGATCTGTGCATATAGTTTGGCACGTGGAAGAGACATGCAACTTCATTCAACTAGATGAATTTAATCTTAGGCAGTTACCAATACTTGCACATATTGGAGATGCTGTTTAAGCCTTTCGGTTTATGGCAATAGACTGCTTCTGAAAAATGTTTAGAGTCTTGGACTCTTGAAGTCTTGCTGTCTACTTTAAAACTTAACATAAAGGAGTCTGACATTTTCTTCCCTCCGAAATTTATCTTTACTGGGTTTGAAGGTATTTTGTTCATGTACGGGAGCATTGCTCAGTCATAGCATATGCATCACAGAGGTTAACTACTCACTTCTGACTGCAATGCAGCAGACTCTTGAGACGGATAAGGCAGAACTTCATAGAGGAATTCTGCACCTGACAGGCTATGTTAGACCACGTCTTGTTCAATCCAACCAGGCTGCCGTAACCTTTTGAGAACTACGTTGCCCTCCGAAATGAAATTCAGACAATAGTTATGAACTTCTTTAGATTAATTAATCTCTTAAATGTACCTGGTAAGGGATGGGCTGGAAGTACAAGAGAGAAACAGTGATCCTCTTATTGTTTTTATAATTGCAGGTTTGTAGCAGCTGTGCAGTCGCAATCCTGTCACGTAAGACTGAGAGGTTTGCTCCAAATCTGGACCAACCTACAGTGCCAGTGCATTTAAAATCAATTGCTCTGTACTGTTTTCTTCCTGGGCTGTTGTTTTTGGAGCTGCTCCTTGGTTGGAGGAAAAAAAAATTATGCTTGATTATAAATCTTTTCACTCTACTTAGACCTTTGCAGAATACAGAACAGCTAAACACCAAGCAAGGTTCAGGTGCTGCATGCCTATAGCACAGCTCATCTCGTATCTTTATTCTTGCTATACGAATGCTCCTATGTGAAATTTCTGTGCTGTTCAGCTTTTAAGGGTAACAGTTGTTTAACAGGGCTGATAGGTGGTTGCATGCGACTGCTGGAGAACTGAAAGAGTGAAAAGCAGAGTAAGAAAAGCTGATGTAGAAATGGAATCTGCCTATTCAAGTATAGCTTCTGTTAGTGGAATAATCTTAAGTAAGATTGTTATTGAGAGATAATCTTACTTAAAACTCCAGTTTATTCTGAATGTGGCTATTTATAACTCCAGTTTGAAACACATGGAGTTAACATTTTCCAAAGAACATAAACTGGAAGTTCTTTTCTGCTCCTGTGTTTGTACATCTTCAGTTGTAAGAACTACAGAAGTTTTTAAAACTGACCCTAAATTATTCCTCTAGTTGTAATGGGTGTGAATATGGTGCTTTCATGGACATGTAGATAGTAGTTGTCTGTCAAGCTAACATTAAAGAAAACTTTTTTTTTTTAAATAAAGTTAACTCCTAAGTGAAGTAAATTATGTTATAGCTGTTACCTGCTGCCTGTGCTTATGCTCTTGCCCAGTGTTGTGGCCAAGCCTGTTAGCTGCACACCAGAACAGCGTTCTAAGGGTGCTGAAATTTTCAGCAGCTACTTAGTCTATTTGGTGGATAGATAGGTGTGACTGGTCTCTTGTCACTTGTGCTTCTTGTCATTTGTGACTTCTTCCTCTCCGCTTTAAAAGACGGCTGTGAGCAAAGCGATAAATTAGGGCACAAAACATGCACTGAGTGAGATATAAGAAGCCAAAACCAAAGTAAAGCTACTTTGATTCTGTACCTTTTTCTGCACAGGACTGTTGCTGTGCTCATGCTCAACCCAATATCGGAGAGCAAAGCTGTTGAGAACAAGTTTATGCTCAGTGAAGCAAATTTGCTTTTTGCAAATAAAGTGAGACCTACTGTTGACAAAAACTCTGCTTTTAAACGTCGTCTTGTTTGCTTTAATGCATAGAAAAGAACATCATTAGTTTCAAAGCGCCCGATGTCACTTTTTTTTCTTCCTCTCCGCGGCAGAGCTGCTTGCTGCGTGCTGCTGTGCGCTCCGCGCCCCCCTACTTCCTCCTGGGGAGCGGTGAGGTCGCTTCCCAGGGCTCGGTGACTGCGAGGTCGTTTGCAGAGCCTCGCAACCCCGCCGCCGAGAGGAGGCAGCTCAGGCCGCAGGTA